TTCAGCTGCGTGGCTGCCAGCCGCCATCTTTGTTGGCAGTTAATTTGCATATCCTGCTGATTAGCCAATGGGAAGCATAGCAGAGGTATGGTTAATTACCATGTTTGTCTATTATTAGATAGGATGTCACAAGTGCCATTGTCAGTGTTCCATTGGGCATCAATAAAGCTTAAGAGCCCTAGAGATATGTGGGCAGCATAAGAGGTACTAATAAAGAGCCAACTGACAAATTCTAGGAATGTATCAATTCTTGTTTACTCTTAACTCATTGAAATTTATAACCGCATAGATTTCAAAAGTTTCAGTGCCCATTTATGTGCCATTCATGGTTTTGTGCTGTCCTTTCTATACGTGGTTCAAGGCAGTGTATGATCATACCACACAAATGTTTTAAAAGGCAATAATTTGGACCTTGGCATGTTACCCTTTATTCCCTGTGTCTGGAGCCCTTATTCATGGGTCTGCATCACTGATCTCCAAAGCTATAACTAATGAATAACTAATAAATATATGATAAGTAAAAGATAAAAATATGTTCTTATTATTTTTCCCATCCTGGTAAAAAAAAAAAATAGGGTTTTTTTTTTTTTTGGTGGTGTCCAAAAGCAGTGATTTTTCCAGTTGTTCTATCTAGATCAGGGGTCCTCAGGGGTCCTCAAACTACGGCCCTCGGGCCATATGCAAATACAAATATTGTATTTGTTCCCGTTTTGTTTTTTTACTTCAAAATAAGATATGTGCAGTGTGCATAGGAATTTGTTCCATAGTTTTTTTTTAAACTATAGTCCGGCCCCCCAACGGTCTGAGGGACAGTGAACTGGCCCCCTGTTTAAAAAGTTTGAGGACCCCTGATCTAGATCTTTAATTCTGATGTAATATTCATTCCTATCTAAAGTTGCCTAAGTAGTAATAATATGAATGTTTCTTCTGTCAGTGGAATATGGAATCCAGATTGTGTCACATAAGCCTTAGTTTAAAATACTCTAAGGAATTTTTCCTTACTAGACTGTATTGCCCTGAAAGTGTAATAGTTAGAAAATCAGACTCTGTAGTCAGACTGAATGAGTTCAAGTCCTGGTTTCACCACTTTCTGGCCATATTTCCTCCTTTACAAAGTGGAGATAATAGTGTCCACTCAAAGGGCTTTGTGCGATCAATGAATAAATGATATAAAACACACAAAGCACTGAAAACAGTACCTGGCACAGATAAGCACTCAATTATTGTGGCTGTTGGTGTTATTAATGTTATTAATAATGGTAGCAATAGTAGGCCACAGTAGTAATAGTCTTACAAGCAACAGTAGAGTACACAATGCTAAAGTCATGGAATTTGGAAGCAGACAAACCTGAATCTAAAGTCCAATTAGTTTTACATTGATGATATGAATGGCCTTGGTGTTATAGCATTACAGTTTATATTGTGATTATTTCTTTTTGCTTGCTTCTTTGGATCATCATTTTTAATGGCTGTTTCTAGGAAGTCTCAATATGGTCTGGAATTAGAAATAAAACATCTGTTTATAGTATATTTTTGCTATTTTTATTAAGAACTCCAATAATTTTATATAATAAAATGGTAGCCATTGTGTTTTTTAAAATTATTATTATTTTTGCTTTGTAGCGCACAGCCTGTAAAAGAAGATGTTGCAACTCCCCTACCTTCTGAAAAAACGCCAACGAGTGTTAATCAGACCCCTATTGAAACAAATGAATTTCCTCAGCTGCCGGAAGGCTTAGAAAAGAAGCCTCTGGTCCTGAAGTTCAGCACCATGTTGGACGGCATTGCCATTGGAGCTGCGCTGCTGCCCTCCCTGCGGGCTGAGTACAAGATGGGCAGGATGCGGAGCCATGGGATGACAGGTAGCGTCTGCTTCCAAATTCTGTCTCAGAATGTAGTATTGGTTTTATAATTAGCAATTGTTTGATGAAAAGATATATTTGGTTGTATAGATATTATATGAAAATTTTAATCAGAACACTTTTAAATTTCATTAATGATATTCCTCAGTCAAGTAGCAGCTATCAATACACCTCCCTTAATAGCAAGCATGTACCCTACTTTCATCTGAACTCTTTAGACTTATTGGACTATGGAGGCCATTTCTCCAGTTAAACTTTAAGTTGAATAAATTTCTACATCTGTCAGTTTCGTATTGCCTGAATAACATGGTTTAGGTTCAGATTGGGTGCCTTTAGCTCAAATTAAAGGTAATTTGACTTCTTCAAAACAGCTACTTCTATAAGATTTTGTGATCCTCATATATGCTGACCAAAAATGCTTTGCTGTTATATTTTTATCCTGAAATGTATCATATATAAATTTAAATTATATACACACAGTTTAAAGAATAATAAGTCTGTTTAAGAATTAGAAAATACCAATACTTTGAAGTCTCTTCAAGGATTACCACTACCAGATAACATTCCCATGGCTGCTCAGGGGATCACCACTGTCATGAATTTGTGTCCCCAGTTTTTTGCTTTTCTTACCGCACATGTATATACTCATAAATGACTTAAAGTTTATTTGCTGTTGCCTGTTTTGAACTCCATTTACATGGAATTTTCCCACTAACATATCTTTTAACTTGGAATTTTGTTTTTGCTATACATTTTGTTTGAAGTTCATCTATTTATATATCTGTGGCTTATTCATTTTTCACTGAAATATAGTAGTAGTTCATTAAGTGATTATATCACAATTTATTTATCCATTCTGCTATTGATGTATCTTTGGCCCATTTTACAACATTGCTATTACAGTCGATCTCATATACATGTTCTGGTGTACGGTTTCTCAAGGGTGGTTATTGGGAGTGGACAGCTAGACTGGGGTAAATGCCTCTACACCTCACTGGGAAATACAAACCTTTTCTGAAGTGCTTGTGCCTGCCAGCATTTTCTCTCCCACCAGGTGAGATGAGAGTGCCCTTTGTTCCACATTCTGTCAATACTCCTAAATTTTTGCATCTCTGGTAAATGTGGAATGGTACTTCATTGTGGTTTTAATTTATATTTCTGCAATAACTAATGAAACTGGTTTTTTATATTATTAAGAGGCCCTTATATGTTTTCTCACATGACATTTCTGTTGATGGTTCTCATTTGTTTCTTGCCCATTTTAACATTGGGTCATTTGTATTTTTCTAGATTCACAGTAATTCTTTATATATTTTGTATATTAAAATCTTTGATATTTTATGTTTAACATATATTGTCACCCAGTCATAGGGTTATCATTTCACTTTGAGTTGTCTTTTGATCAATAGATATTTTATTGTCATTGAATTTACCAATATTTTCCTCTATCATGTGCATTTTAAAATTGTTTTTTGTTAATCCTCACCCAAGAGTATTTTTTCCATTGATTTTTAGAGAGTGGAAGTGAAGGAGGGAGGGAGGGAAGGAGGGAGACAGGGAGAGAGGAAGGAACATCGATGAGAGCGAAATATCCATCAGCTGCCTCCTGCATGCTCCATGCTCCTGCATGATCTAGCTTGCCGCCGACCTGTGTCCTAACCTGGAATCGAATTGGTGACCTCTTGGTACATGGGACTATGCTCAACCAACTGAACCACACCAACTGGGCTCTATCTTTTATGTCTTAAAGAAATTCTTTTCCTTCCAGGATCATGAAAATATTCTATATTTTTTAGTAAATGTTTTAGAGGTTTACTTTTTATATACTTCTTAATCTATATGGAAATGATTATTATTTTTCTTTAATTTGGTGTCTGGAGTAGTATGCATGACCAGTTATCTCAGCATCGTGTATTGACTAATCTGTTTTTCCCCCAGTGGTATATAATCCAGTTCTGTCATTTATTAAGTGTTTATGTATGTGGTATCTATTTCAGAGTTCTCTGTTATGTTTCATTGCCCTATTTGCACCAATATTATATTGATAACCTGGCTTTTCCTTGTTTAGGAGTTGTCTTGGTTATTTTTGGTTTGTACTCCTTCGTACACATTTTATAATCCATTTGTCAAGTATATATATTTATATACTTCTATATGTAGGGAAAATAGTCTGTTTAATGCTGTTTGAGTGGAGAGAATTGGTAATGTACAGAACACTATCAGTAGACGTGGTTGGTTGGAAAGGAGCACATGGGTATATGTTACACAGTACATGTGACAGTCAGTGATAGAGCTTGATTTTAATAAGCTATCTACTACTTCTTAATTCATTTTTCTTGCACCTATTTGTTATAACTCTTCTGTAATAAGGGTAATTTCTTTTTGCCTTCTATGAAACGAAGAACATTTTAAGTGTTTTTCTAGCACCTAACACAATGTTGGGCACCTACTAGGCTTAATAAATAATTTTTGCTGGCTTAATAATACTTACTGACTGACTCTTTATAGTAACCATACATACAGTATATTGAAAAGATAGGAAATATGAGCACATTTAAATATCTTTTCCATATCTTTCAATATAGGTTTTGGGATATGCATATATTTTTCTTAGGCACCATTTTTGAACAAAGTAAGGAATGAATGGGTGAGTGAGCACCTGAATGAACAAGCAATAACTTTTCTTCTTTCTTACAGGTGCACAGACCAGGTTTACATTTGAGCTGCCAAATCACAGGTTGCGTTTTACTTCAAAAGTTTCTGCCACAGATATGTCTACTATTCCTCCTTCTGCCAGTCTTAACCTGCCTCCTGTTACTATGTCTGGGAAATACATCATGGAAGAGCATGATAGTTATTCAGATCAGGTGTGGAGTATAGATGAACTGCCTTCGAAACAAGGGTACTTTTTACAGGGAAATTATCTACGTTGTGTGGCAGAAGTAAGTTTACTTTTTAATTTTCTTACTCTGTAATTAGAGGCCTTCAAGTTTTAGGTGTATCAAAATATGTAGTGATCCAAACTTTTAAGACAAATTATTAAACCATTTATTTCTACAGAATTCTGTACTGAATCTGGTATGTGTATGTGTGTGCACGTGTATGTGTGTGTATGTCCCTCCCTCTATAGGTTAACTGAAGCATGTTTTTTATTAGTCATCTTTGACCTCATTATTTCTTACATTGGGTTTCACATCCATCTCTGCAATATTTTCATGGTTCATTTTATTATAATGACATTTATTTATGGTTCCAACAATACAACAGTGGCAATAAAAATAAATATTAATATAGATAAAATTTCAATTTTAAAATTATCAGATTACATAATTAAATTATAATTTCCATTCATTTTCAAATTATTTATTCCTATTGGCTACTGTTAACTTATTTCTTTTAACTGAGGGAATGGCCTGTAATAGTCAGGCCAGTAAAGTATTGGAGAATCTGAATATTTTTAACCCTTCTTCAAAGTATTGATTTCAAATAGTATGTAGATAATTGTCCACAGAGTTTGGGATTACTTATGTGAGCAAAAATGTATTTAAAACTAAGTCAGTAGTGTCAGCCTAATGCTCTAATTTTGTTTGGCAGGTTGGTTCTTTTGAACATAATCTCACAACTGATCTTCTAAACCACTTGGTGTTTGTCCAGAAAGTGTTCATGAAGGAAGTTAATGAAGTGATACAAAAAGTCTCTGGTGAGCTGATATGGCACCTTATAGTATAGAGCATGTAGCAGCAGGTTTTGTTCTCATGGGCTGCATGGCCTATGGGTCCGTGATATGAGCATTGAGCATGTCCTTTGGATATAATTATTGACTGACTCCCTACAAATAAGATGTGCCTTTTCTGGCTTTCCAGCCTACAGGTTCTTTTGCTTATTACTTTTCTCGTGTGTAACACATACATTCATGATTTATAAACTTCACAAAGCTTCTTTATGCTTACCTTAAGAAAGAGAGAGAGAGAGAGAGAACTTTTTGTATGTCTATTGACCAAACCAATCTTAGTCATTTAGGAACAAAATTTAGATCAATATTAAGATTGCCATCTTATTCTATACCCGGTGGTGACTATATGCTGGCTACATGGTAAATTGTTTATAACAACCCATACATTTTTGCTATCTCTCAAGAATAGATTACCATTGAGCTTCTTAATCACAGCTTTACATTTTAATAAGAAATACATGTTTGATTTTTTAAATGTTCAATTGAATTTTATTTCATAAGATGAAGTATTAAGAGGAATTAGGGTAGAAAACAAGTTGACTCTGTATAATTGTTCTTGAGGCTGAATATTTCCAGTATGAATATAATCATGTCAAAATAATAGCTGGACCACATCTATAAATTTAATTTATAATGAGGTAAAGAACTGTGGAGTTAATGTGACTAATATAATAGTGTTCCTTATATTTCTATAAACTAAAATGATTATGTAGTACATTTTGTAAGAGGTGGAGCATTTGCTTTTAAATTTTAAGAAATTTTTTCAGGCACCAGATAAAAGATATTCAAGGTAGTGATAGATCAACACAAGATAAGTAGAATTTTTATGAATAGACTTTTTTTGAGGCAAAATTGACATATAACATTATATTCGTTTCAGGAGTATAACATAATTTGATATTTATAACACTATGAAATGATGACCATAATTAATTTAGTTACCCTTTATCATCATACAAAATTATCATTTTTTTTTTCTTATGATGAGAACTTTTAAGATTTACTCTCTTGGAAACTTTCAAATATGCAGTACAATATTATTGACTAAAGTCACCATGCTGCACATTACATCCCCAGGACTTAGTTATTTTATATCTGGAAGTATGTACCTTTGCCCTACTTCACCCATTTTGCCCACCCCCCAACTCTCTTCCCCTGTAGCTACAAACCAGTCTGTTTACTGTATTTGTGAGTTGTTGTTTTTTTAGATTCCTCATTTAAGTGATCTGATTGACTTACTCACTTAGCATAATACCCTCAACATCCATCCATATTGTTACAAGTGCAAGAGTTCTTAAAAAAAAAGAATAAAAAAAGAAACGAGTTCTTTTTTGAAAGTCCATAAACTATTACATTTTTATCTTAAGCAAACAAAAACTGCTCTTTCATCTGTTTTTTTTCTTTAACAGTTTTTTTTTTATTGATTTCAGAGAGGAAGAGAGAGGGAGAGAGAGAGAAACATCAATGATAAGAGCAAATCATTGATTGGCTGCCTCCTGCACGCCCCCTACTGGGGATCGAGCCTGCAACCTGGGCATGTGCCCTTGACCGGAATTGAACCTGGGACCCTTCAGTACCCAGGTCGATGCTCTATCCACCAAGCCAAACTGGCTAGGGCAATCTGTTTGCTTCTTGGCTCTTTTGATGCATCTATGGTCCTTAATAGGAAAAAACTTCCATCCCATCTGTATGCTGTCTGGGCTGATGATGAACTCAACATACAAACAAAAAGGTGGATCATTTTAAGATAGGATATTGGAAAAATAAGCATGCAGAGAAGTTCATAAAAGGAAAGACAAGTAGATATAGAAGTTATATATTAAAATATTAGAATGTTATTCCCTGAGTGTACCACATTGCCTGGGCAACAAATGGTCTATGAATAGGAACTTAACCTCCAAGGTGTCCTATCCTCATTTAAAAAACTTTACACAATAATCTTTGCTGTCACACTCTTTATTGTTAATGTGTATTACCTTATTTTTCATTTCTCCACCTTTATTTTTTCTTTTGCAATCCTATATAATAAAGAGGCATTATGCAAATTGACTATCACTCCATCATGCCATCACAAGATGGCTGCGCCCACAGCAGAGGCGCGGTTCCCATAATGTGCGATCAGCAGGGACCTAAGGCTGCTTGGCGCCGGGCCGGGGGACCTGAAGCCGCACCCTCAGCCCAGAGGGGCTTGACAGGGGACCTCAGGCCGCGCCCCCCACCCAGCGGGCTTG